CTTTTTTGTAACAAAATATCGATTTCTGCTGTCCCTGTATCCATACATTATTAGCAAACAAAATATCACCATACTACACAGTATCAATTTTTTCCCCCACCTCTAGTAATCATACAATCATACATCATACTTGTGGTCAGTCTGTGAGAGATTAGTTCTCCCTGACAGTGCTGGTTTATTCTTAAGTTTAGAGTTAAACTCTCAGTTTAGGGTATATTTACAAATACAGCTTAATGATTGGTGGGGGGGGGGGAAGATAGATGAATTACTTGAAATTAAAAATTAAGCTCTGCTTCATTTAAGTTTACTTCAAGTTTCCTCATCTTGTCCAAGTCAACCAGATTTCCACTGAACACCCGTCAGATTCACACCTATATTACCTGTAGTGTTTTCCAGGGACATCAGGCAAGAACAACAAAATGTAATTTCATATAAGATTGAGCAATTTATTAAACAGCTGTGATAATTGTGGTAGTATAAAGTTATTGTTGATACAGAATTACAAGGTAGCGCACAACACATGCTGTTTAAAATGAGACGTTACACTCATCAAGGTAGCAGGACGTTCGATTTTCAGCGTTTTCCGCGAACAGTAGGAGACTTTGATTTGTGAATGGTAAGTCAAACTTGGTATAGAGCTGACAGTATTAAATCTCTGGGGTCTTGATGTGTTCTCCAGCAGAGAAAGCTTTGTGGTACCATCAAGCAACATCATATCAAACACCGCCCACTTACTCACAAGAGAATAGTGAGGCAAATGTATTTGAGACACGAGGGGTTGGTTGAATTTATGCATTTTCTCCAATTTAAAAAAATGTTCATTGCAGCAATTAGCCTTGGAGAGCTCTGTTTTCATAGGCACATGGGGCAAAGTTGTATCTTCCTCAGCATAAACCACCTACACATTGGTGCCAATTGTAAAGTTGGCTTTAAGATTTACAGCCATTTGCTTCTTCCCCTGCTCGCCAACTGAAAATAGGAGCATGTAACGCCGGTCCTCTGTGCTTTTAATTGATAGAGGCATACCCAAATAAAGCTCTACAAAATCAGAGACTTGTTTTATTTATGTTTGGGAACTTGTTTCTTCCTCTTCCATTATACATTCTTTAGCCAGTTTGCACACCATTATATAAATCATGCTTGCAAGGCAAAATAAATATTCATTTCTGATCTTAAGCAGCATCTGTCCTCCGTACCAGGTTGCATATACTGCTTCCCTTTCACTTGACGTGTTCACAACCATCTGTGATCCATCTCTAATTTGACTGATACACATTGTCAAGCTGGACCGTGTGCCCCACTTTCACTGGTTATCTTGACAAGATTTAGCATAAGCATCACGAGGCAGACTTGCAGTCTCTCCTGTGCATTGCATGTGTTGGTTATTTATGGATGTTCTTAATTAAATCATCATGGAATCTGAGGCAGACACATGACACGTTCCATTAAAAACTCACGAGACAATTAAAATTTTTCTGCTCCCCTAAAACTGATCTAAAACCCTTTTAGATCAGTTTCATCAGCTCATCTCACTGTATCCACATCCAGCACATTTGGGAAAATGGTGCAACAGCTCC